ATTATGTTGGTGCACATATCACATAATGAATCAACATTTAGATAAGTGAATATCTCGTAGATAACTTAGAAGTACGTGATGCACTATATATATCGAATTGAAATATCTATGTGAATGCATAACAAAACCTGAATGATAAAAACAAACATACATAGTCACGAAGAAAAAATAATTTGTAGATGTAGTGGCTTAAGACTCTCGTCTGTCATATCGCCAATCGATGCCAATTCTTTGTCGTCAAACTGAGAGAATAATCTATTAACGAATTTGAACTAAAAATTACAACTACATTGCAATATGTTGATATTGATACGTTGTATTAATATATATTATATATTGAATGATTCAAACCTTTTTTTTCTTGCGCCGCCTCTAGATTCATGATGTTAGACGTCCAAATGTTTGATTTTAATTTGCATCAAAGATAATATTCAATGATGACATTGTCATTCCTCTCATCTATAATAAGGGCCCATTTGATATACACCACTCATATGGAACATATATTGGGCTAGGTCCACCCCTAAAATTCTTTCTTTGATATAAACCCTTGGGGAGGTAAAAGTACTATTGGGCCCTTATGCTCAATTTCCACCCAACTGCATTCAGCATTTTCGCCCCTACATTCAGCATAATGCTGAACTGCATTTAGCATTTTAGGCATGCATTTATCATTTTTATAGATTATTTTAATAAAAATATAAATTCTTATTCTATTATTATTTTTTATAGGGAAATGATGAATACAGAACGGCTTTTAGTAAATGTAGGACATTTTTTTAATTTTAACTTTTACAGAACCGCTTTTAGTAAATGTAGGACATTTTTTTAATTCTAATTTTTATCCCTATTTTAGAACGTATTTTAGTAGTTATAGACATTTTAATATAAACTAGCAAACACCTGTGCGAAATACTCTTAAAAGCAAACACCACCTCAAATTTTCTTCGATCTCTTTCTTTGAGCTCCAACTGTTATTGGAGATTCACTAGCTACTTACAGCTACTATATAATTCACTAGCAACTATATGTATTAATAAAAAATGCTTAAATAAATTATAAACAATACAATTTTCCAAAGACTAAAACTTGAATGTTACCAAGAGTGTTAACAGTGCAAAGAATTCAAAGTCACACCAAAAAAGAGTTACTGAGACGTGCATCTAAATGCAGACAAACCTATTAGAAGCATAAATAAAATAAAATTCAAATAACTGATAAAACCTGAGTATCGAACTTAAAGAAAAACAAGAAAAAAGAAAGAAATAAAAACATACAGTAGCAAATAAAAAAAAAGGTATAACACAAATATCTATTTCTTTGCAGTTGATTCTAAATCCCACCGTTTTCTCCTTTCTTCAAATATGTTGGCAAATTGTGTCACATCCTCGTTTCTGTGACGATTCCCAAGTGCAGCGTAACATGGAAGGGGAAATTGAACGGTTGTATGTAACAAAATAAAGTGTACTGCAGCTGCATGGTAAAAAATAACAATCTCATGTGACAGATGTGATACACCATCGGGGAAGATTAGTGGCAAGTAAGTAATGTTTTGTGTTTTAGATACCTCCAACACCATCGCATTATAACGTGTAGCTATCACTAATCCCAAGGCGAATAATGACATCCACCGCTCAGGTGGTGCTGGAGTGTTTGAAAAGTGGCAACATGACTCCATTATACTTTTTGTGTACTCCTCCCCAAATATTTCTTTGTATATATCAAATCTATTGGAAAGCTCATCGTGCAAGTCTCTCCTGACATCCATCCAACGCTCTTGATCGTTCATGACAGCTTGAGCTACACATCTAAATCCACAATTACCGTCACCTCTGACATCTACCCATGAAACTATCTCAGACCTCATACATGGTGGTATAGATTTAAATATATCTGGCCTTTGTTTCTTTAAAGGACACGACTCATGACCTCGACCTCGACCTCGACCTCGACCTCGACCTAGTAATGTGGATGGTGACGTACTACGACCTTCTCCTGATAATGTGGATGGTGACGTACTACAACCTCGACCTCGACCTCGACCTCTACCTCTACCTCTACCTCTACCTCTACCTCGAGCCTTACTTGGTAAATCGACCAATTTTCCTTTACCAATTCTGAACTCCCATGCCGACGAATACCTAGCAGTAGAATTATTCTTTGGCCGACCTCTAGGTTGTTCTGCTGATGGCTCCTCCAAATGACTCTCCATCGGAAATAACTGCGTATATATACTATCTGCAATGGCACGCTGCTCAATAATGGGGCGTGTTAGCAACTCCTCAAATAAACTAGAAAGTCTACGTTTAACTTCTCCCTCATGATCGGGCTGAAAATCAATGTATGGCACATCATCAATACGCATTGTTCTCCAAAATATATGGACATGATTCCTATAAAATACGTCACCGTCACGCTCTTTCTGCACGATCTCATGTGCACATGGGAGATCATGAGTTTTTCTCAAATAACAACTACATCGTTCTGGATCCTCACGCACGCCACTGGAATTTGCAAGCTCACGCTCATTTGTCATCTTGCTCAGCGCATAATGAGTGACAACACTTGCCAAATATCCCAAATAGGGGTATAAAACAACGTGCTTTCTGATCTTCGCCGATTTGGAAAATTCCGATAATATCTCATTAATTTGGCACTCTATATGAGAGTGGAATTGCTTCCACAAAGTGTCAAAACCACCCGTCGATGACCCCAGCAATTGTTTTATTGACCAATGAGCACCCTCCACTCTAAAATCGACAATAAAAATTCTAATAAAAATACACATTCATTAATTGGGAAAATAAAAAATTATATATAGAACGACCAAAAATACCTGTTAGTTGTTGTGTTGCCGAAGTGCATAACTTGATCGGTCCAGGCACGCACGAATCTCTCTTTATATATGAGCCAAGTCTCATTAAGGTATGTCAATAGCGAAACATTATCCTTGTATTCCTCAGATATCTCTTTATGGTTCTCGTCATACTCCTGCATCGATAAAGAATTGACCAATTTTTTCCACTTTCCTTGGCTGAATGCAATGCCCAATTTCTTATTGTTGCTCATAAACTTTGTTGCATGCATCAACACATTTTTATTTATATGAAAAGTACATAGCAGATGGTAAGAATGTGGGAAAACATATTGTATAGCCTTCATAAGGCCCAATTCTCTATCAGTCACAATAGCATGAGGTGATGTATCATTGTTAAACAAATTCGCCAAATTCTGCAATACCCAACTGTAGTGTTCCTCTGATTCGTTTCTTATAAATGCTATTGCAACATTGAAATTCTTGCCCACAGGAGTCACTCCAATGATTTCCACTAAAGGCATTTTGTACCTAATGTAAAAACATAAGTAGTCTTATAAATTAAACAATTCTTCAATGGAACAGTAAATATAGAAAAAATAAATTATACGAAATAACTTACTTATTTGTCTTATATGTAGAGTCAATTAGCAATACATATGGAAATAGTCTAAGAAGCCTGATGGACTCTGAATGTGCAAACATAATATCAGTAATATGTTTCGTAGTTGGATCCGCTCGATACCAATGTGCATAATCATTTTCTTGAATACAACACATGAGTTGCTGTACAACTGTTTTACCACCCATATCTGCAACTTTAATCTTCTTCCTCGCATTATATATATGCCTTAACGTCGTCTTAATGCCCGGATACTCACGTCGTAGATGGTCTAATATTTTCTTCGGCTTTACGTGACTTTTGGTTAATGAGGCAATAGTAGCACACTGATCTTTGCTCAATCTGCTCACCAATCCGTGGCCATGGTGATATGTTGCCGGCGGGTGATTATGTTTTCCACTCAATATTGTCATTCGCCATTTACCCTCTGTAAATTCATGAGCTACCAACATGAAAGGACAACGACATTTTTTCGTGCCAGTGAATTTTGGCCTCGCCACATCTATATTATTCTTCATTCGTGGTTTCCCGTAACATTCGCACGATAGATATACTTTGTGCTTACGACTAGTTTGTACAATAAGGAACATACCGTGTTCTTGAGCAGTAGACTTCGCCCACTCTTTAAATTCGTTTTCACTACAAAATATTTTGTCCGATGAGAAATATTCACTATAATCGACTTCTTTAGACGACTTGAGATGATCCTGGTCCAAATTAGTACAAAAATAAATATATATTATAAAATCTGGTACATAAAATAGAAAACGGAAAATCTAGCACATAAAACAGAAGAAAAAAATTCGCACCGAAATGAATTTTTTTACCTCACTTTCAATCTCACTTTCAGCTGTATCACCCTCCAAAACTATTAAATCCATGTTCTTGGTGATTGATGATGATTAATTGTGTGATATTCTCCCAAAGTAATGTTGATATGGAGACTTACAAAAAAAAGTTTGAAAGAATAAGATGAGATATATTACGTTTTGAATTTTTAAATAAAGTGTCTACGTTTACTAAAACTCTTCATTGGATAATCTGTCAAAATAATGTCGTTAAAAAATTCTAAAAGAAAGGGATTTGACAAAATATGATGGGATACATATTTTTGAATATTTAAAATAAAATGTCCTATATTTACTAAAACTCGTCCTGCATTTATCAGCACCCTTTTTTATATATATTGTATTTTGTATTTTTATTTTTTTTTTTACTTTTTTTTTTATTTTTTTTTATTTTTTTTACGTTTTTCATTTTTTTTTAATTTTTTTAATTTTTTTAATTTTTTTTAATTTTTTTAATTTTTTTAAT